ATGGAGGCAGCAGTCTCAGCAGGGACTCTCAGACTTCCCTCACTGCAGACACCTCCACTAGCCCCCGGTTAGGGGACATCAAGGTACTACCAAAGTACTCCCTATGACAGACCAGTGCAGTGTCCGCATTATGGCAGCAACTGCACCAATGGATCTATGGATCTCCCCATTCTCCCCTCACTCAAGAATGGGACCCCAAGATTCTTAAATTACTCGCTTGAGGAAGGAACTCTCCTCCAACCTGAAGTGAACAAGCCACCTTTTTCATTAGAGAACCATGGCCTCGCACTTGGAGGAGCTGATTCTCATCCCAGCCACTTCATACTCTGCTGCGAACTGCCCCAGTGCAAGGTGTAGGTTTTGGCAGAAGGGAGCCAAAGAGAAACATGTCATCCGCAAAAAGCAGGGACATGAACTGCTGGTTCCCAAACCAATCCCCCTCTGGTCTTTTGACTCTGCCTAGAAATCATGTCCATAAAGGTTATGAACTGGGCCACTGACAGAGTGCAGCACTGGCCAAAATGCACTTGGAATAGGTCCAACTTATTGCTGGCAATGCGGACCAGGCTAATGCCCGGCTTTCAGATAAAGTTAAGTAATATGTTAAAGTGTTTAGTCTGGGCTGTTTTTTTTAATGGGTTGGAACAATGGCCAGTTCCAAGTCATTTTTCCGTTGGCTGGTGGTGCAGTGTGGGGTGTTTCCAAGCTCATCAGGAAATGTGGGAGTTCAAGATTCAACTTTTTTTCTATAGGCTTTAGAAATGCCATCTTCCAGCATAGAAAAACAAACTGAAGAGCTACTATCCCCATTTGCAAATACTTCTGCAATTGTGCGTGACCATCGGTATCTGCCAACTTGCTTTGGTGGCTTTGTTGGCATTGCCCTTGTCTACATCTCAGGGTTTGTGGTCTGACAAATTATAAAAAAGCTGTTGTGTGATGTGTGCTGTGGTTGTCTGGTCACTGATGCTGTTCCTGCATCACTTGATCAGAGCCACCACTTTCTCCATCTAAAAACAAAGGAGGGCCAATGGTTCCATCTGAGGGGAATTTGATTATTACCAGATCAGCTGAGCTTTTCATTCGCCAGCCTGTGCCAAGGCAAGCTCTCTACTTGTCCTATATCAACCATTTTGTAAGGGCTGGTGTTGTAGCTGAGGATGTGTTTGGTCTAGGTGAGCACATTCAGGAAAAGTGTGAAATTGACAACCATTGCTATCTGCTGATCACTTGTGGTTTCTGTGTTTCATAAGCTGAGACTGCAACACATTGCTAAACTAGAAACAATGCAATTACAGAGTGGCAGGAAAAAAATGTGCAAAACCATTCTTTTTAAAGGGTTTCATCTTTTGTCTTAGTTAAACAGAAAAGTGTCTCTGGTGTACAACCCTGAGTGTATGTGTTGTTTTTAAAATGAGTTTTGTTACCTAGAAATGTCCAAAAAGATAAATAAAAGGAAGATGTTTTCATCTTGTTTGTTTGAATTAAAGCTAGGGCATTACCACTGAATTCACCATTAACATGTGCTTTAAAATCGTATTTGTATTATAATACGGAAATAAACATGTGCTGGAGCGCATCTAGCAATTTTTAACAACCTTAACAACTCAATCTTCTCAACATAAATCTATTTTTAAACTCACCTGCTCCACGTCTTGTTTTGTTTTTTGTTTAATGCTATTACCAAGAATGATTTCCTCAAACCCTTCACAGCCTCTTCTGTGGTTTATAAGTGAAGAGTAGATTAAATTCACTGAGTGGCATTTTATCACAAAATTATCATAAAATGATATCCATAAAATGATATCCCTGTTGTATCCCTTCTCTACATTGGAGATCATCAGATAACACATCCCACTGACGTACACCTCTCATGTGACATCAACAAAGACGGAAAGTTTGAATAAGAAATGTATCATGTGACACTGTGACTATGACAAGAGGAATTCCTTAACCCTAGATAGAAAAAGTGATACATTATCCCCATTGTCTCTTCAGTTAGGTGCTGTTATGAAAGAACTATTGTTTGCCAAAGCAGTCAGGCATTTGTAATCTAACATTCAGTTTCTACTCATCTTTTCATTTCAGAAGTCAACAGGTTTTTCTCGGGTTGACGGTTTTTGCAGTATTATATAGTAGTGTATTATATGGTATAGTTTTAGTATATACTATAACATGTGCAAAACGAACATTTCACCATGGAATGTGACGCTTTAAAATCCAGTTTCTCAGGTCTTGCAAGTTTGCAACCAGATATAAACACGGCAGAACGTGACAGAGCCACTGGGTTAACAAGAGCTTTCTTGTTCTTCGTACTTTGAAATGACCATCAAAAGCTTTCATATTGAATATGATGCCATCAACGACAGGAACACTTTTACAAATGGAGATACCATAAATGGACGGATCATCCTGGAGGTCTCCAAAGAAACAAAAGTTCAGTCTCTGCTTTTTATTGGGAAAGGAAAAGCAAATGTGCGTTGGTCTGAGCACTATGGAGAGCATACTCATGTTTACTGGTCTGATGAGAAGTACTACAATGTTAAGCATCATTTGTTAAGAGAATCAAGACAAGATGGTAATGTATGAATTTAGATTTAAAAGGACATAATGTGCTAAATCCCTAGAATGCTGATGTGCTAGTTTAAAATGTCTTTTTTTTAAGGCACTGAAGTCATTGGGAAAGGAAGACATGTTTTTCCTTTCAGCTTTAAGATACCTGACAGGTATTTTATTTCTATAAGGTTTATATTCTGATCTTTTTCAGATTCTAATCCTTGTTTTTTTTTTTCCTTTTTTACCAGGAAAATGCCATCATCTTTTTACTCATCTGTGGGTAGAATTGTTCATAGGTTAGAGGTGGAGCTCCATCAGTCCATGAAGCTGACAAAAACGGCTAAAACACACTTCACATTTATTTCCACAGCAGACATGGATACACCAGGACTCATGGTGAGAAACCAAAAAACAAAACATACCTCAAAAGAAATCCTTTCTAGTGCTACATAAAATTACTTGTTTAAGATGTTTTTTAAAATGAAATCTGCTTTTAGGTTTCCCAACATGGGAGCAAGGATAAAAGCTTTGCTTTTGGTTCTGGAAATGTTTCGATGGATGTCTTTACACAAAAGATGGGATACAAACTTGGTAAATATCTGGTGTTAAAAGAGGAAAACTTGTGTGTTCAACACTATTAATACTTAAATGTCACCTAAACATCACAAACATTCAAACTCACACAAACAAAAGATGTGATTTTTTTCAATTCAAATTATTTATAGTCACACAGTCAGACTGGTCAAAATTTTTTTTTATCAAAGTAAAAAACAATTGATTGCATGCACTCATTGACTCTCTGCAATCCCTCACAACTATCATACACGTAGCAAAAGTGGAGAAGAAAACTCCCTTTTACCAGCAAGAAACCTCCAGCAGAACCAGGCTCAGTGAGAGCGGCAGATATGTAGATATTGACATAAATTAAATAGGTTATTTGGTGCTTGGGCCCCGGCAGAAGACTTAGATGCTGTGAATCAACATTTGCTTGGATTAGAAAGCTGGGGAAAGGATTAGAGAAATCTTACCCCCAAAAAAGGTGCAAGGCTAGGAGAATAAACCCCCAAGCTGGGGATGAAGGGATAGAAATTAGAGGAGAGGCAGAGCAGTGCAGTCAATAGCACTGATGGAGAGACAGAGCAGTGCAGTTGATCAAACAATTGATAGCAGAGTGATGATTGCTTGAAGTACCCTTGAAAAACAGATTCCCTGAATGATTTTGGAGAATCTTGAAAACCTGAACTGGGGGATAGGAGCTAGACCTGTATAGAATGAATTGGATAAGCGGAGTAAATGACGCCATGTCTATAGGAGAGACCTACAGCAGCAATATTGGGTAGTCCTGAGATAATAGAAACCTTGAGGTTGCATCATTGTGATGTCAAGCACCAAACTTTACAAACTTGATAACCTACAAGATGGGCAGGACTGATGCCCTGTGGTGGGCTAATAAATGCCAAGCTCAGTTATGTTGATGATGAGGGTTAGCAGAGATGTGTCTGTAAACTGAAGGCTGCCAAGCTTAATTTTTTAAAATCATTTAAAGTGACAAGACATGAATTTGAACTTGAATTTTCAGCCTATTTGATAAAAGAAGTGGTGTGAAGACTTTATGTATGCTACGTGATATACAATAGCGTAAGTGAAAGCCTAAAAAGCAATTGCAGCGAGCATGTTAACTAAAGGATACATTTTTTTTTGTGTGGTTATTGTCACAAATGTTTACTTAAATGACAGTTAGATGCGTTCAAGCACACAGTTTTCTAGATCTGTTTTAGCCTGCTAAAATTAAATGAGTTTGAATAGTTTTAGATATGCAACCATGTGAGTCCAATAAGGAATTTGGGTTCCAGTACTTGGAAAAAAATATTTATTTTACTGCATAATGCGGGACATGTAACAAATGTTTACTTGATCAATTAGGCGAGGATGGTTTTCAGGCGGTTACACCAAAGCCTTATTATTCGACTAAACTTGCAGTATTGGGTTCAAACAACTTAACTGAAGTCAATGACAAGTCAGACAGTGAAAAAACAATGTTAAAACAACTTACCTTTGCTCTATAAACAACTAGAACAAGCTCAGTGTTTAAATTTAGCCAAAGAGAGGTCTAAATTTAACTTAGCTGCTTTTCAAGGCAACAGGTGAACAGAGTTAGTTAGTCTAAATCGCAATGTCTTACAATGCAGGAATTAGTTACCTTAAAATTGGAATGGCTGTGACAAAGCATACTGAACAAACTGAAAGGGACGTTGGAACCACTATACAAATACTACATCAACTCATTCATCAAAAGCAACATGAAATCTGCTGATTATTCAGCCATGACATAGATTAAACAGTGAAAAGATGTTGAAAATCCAGCTAGGTCCCCTGTAAAGCAAGAATCTGAGGATTTAATTAACGCCGTGAAGCTGTGGGCTGCAGATGCACGTGTGGGGGAATTAATGCTGTTCATGTTAGAGAAGTAAAGAACTGAAGCAAAGAATGAGAAAAACCTTTGAGTCCTAGAAAAATACCTCTCACCTGAAGAGCTGAACAGGGAGGGAGCCAAGCTACCAGCTGAATGATGGCTTGGGGGAACAAGGGAGGCTTTTGAGGAGGCGGAGGGAGCTAAGGTGTGGCGGAGCTAAAAGTCCCTGCAGCATTAAATGGATCAACAGGTGTTGCAGAGGAGAAAATCCCTGCTGAAGCAGATGCAGGAGGGATGGAAAATGAACTTGTGAGAAGCCTGTTAGGGCATGCTGGACTGAATCTGAGCCAAAGCCAAGGATCAGTGCAATGTGTTAACAGGAGCCGCTGCACATTAAAAAAACATAACCATGCACTTGATGACTGAAAGTTCGCTTATGTGAAGGAGAGACACTGGGCCAGGAGCTAAATGAAGGGGGTCTTAGAGATGATTGGCTTAAAAGGTATTGCAGTCCAGATCTGATTGGCTGAAGCTTAACGAGGGACATTGCAGGTGGTGTTGGTCTTCCAGACTGAATTTTCACTTAAGCTTCATAGGTCTAGTTTAGGGGGGAAAAAATCCAGTTTTGAATCCATTAAAGAACACCAATTGATATGGCTCATGGACAAGAAGGGCATTTAAACTTTTCTGCACTGTGGGCTTCAATAGGAAATACCAGCAAGATTATTCCTAAAAACAAGCAAACAGTGAAATACAGAATAAAAAAGCACTGTTTATGTAACTCATTCAGGTATTTAGCAGTACGCTTCCTAGTGTCTAGTTTTTCAAAGGCAGAGAGAACATTAACATAATACCAGAGTGGTAGACAGTTCTTAGCCCATATGACCAATAAGTGTCTTTCGATTAGGTCAGTCTTGTCCTAGTATTTCTTTCTTTTTCCCACTGACAGTGTTTTATGATTCAGTCTGAACATTTGTCTCCATTTTATAGGTGAGACTCTGTCTGTCTCCATCAAAATCAATAATGCCTCAAGTCGCTCAGTGAAACCCAAACTTGAACTGTATGAGAAGAAGAGCTTCTTCGCTCAGGGCAGAAGGAAAATTGAAACAAAAACTATCCTAAAGGAAAAAGCCGAAGCTGTTGAAGCGCAATCAGGCAAGAAAACTGTAACGAAGATGATCACCATCCCAAGAGTGCTTCCTCCATCCATTCTAAACTGCTCAATTCTTAAAGTGGAGTACAGACTGAAAGTAAGACTCACCAGTAGAACCACATGGAACTAAAAGAGTCTCTATATTACAAAACTAACAAATGTGATCCACACATGCACAAGATAAGATCCACATATGCACAAGATATCCCAAATGCACTGCAATATCCACTCATACACAGGATAAGATTCACACATGCAAAGCACAATCTTCAAATGAACATGATTCAAATAGGCACAGACAATTTACACATTCATAAGACAAGATTCACAAAAGCTTTGTGATGCATATGCCATTATATCTGAATGTTTAATCTACTAGTGGTCTTTGAGCATTATTGCATTTGTGTAGGGATTTTTGAGAATCACCTGATGGGACTTGATGCACAAATGCATTTTTCTAACCCGGTATTATTTCCAACAAACTAAAATGAAACCCATTGTTTCAGCCAATCAAGAATGTAAACTACAGAGGAGGTCATTTTGTTAAATTGAAGAGTAGGGAGTCACTGCAGCAAACACAAAGAGGGGGAGACTGACCACATGGCAGATCCATACCATATTTGGATGCTATATCCTAATCCAGTTACAGTTTTTCATATGAACTGTGTTTCTTTTTTTTTTTTAACTACCGTTGTTTCAACATTTTTAAAGACATTTTCTGAGATTCTATTAAGCACACAAAAAACACACACTTTTAAAAAAGACATTTTAATTTAGTCCCTGAAAGTATAGCTAAATCATTCATCCTCCTTGCGTAGCTTCCAGACATGACCGCTACCCTGCTCTACAATCTGCCCGGCTTTCTAATTCCACGGTTAGCCTCTAGAGTTTGACCTGAAAGTGTCCATTAAATTTTGTTCCAGTTCATGATTGTGTCCCACTTGTTGATTCATCTCAAAAATAAGAATTTTATATCTTTGTTTGAAGCCTGAAATGTAGAAAAAAGGTTGAAAAGTTTAAGGGGACTAAATACTTTCACAAGGCCCTGTAATAAATCTATAGGAAATCACTTGTGACTTTAAAGCAGTACTTAGGTACTTTTCCAAAGGGGAGAGACTTTGAAATCTAACCTCTCCTGCCTCTGCTGCCACTGTCCCAATATACAAAGACATGCTTAGGGATTTTTTTTTTAACATAGACGATAAATCCATTAGGACAAAAATAAACATTATAGTTAGATGTAGTGCAATGTTGAATGTTATACGTCATTTAGCCGATGATGTTAGATGAATCTCCTTTGATTAGCACCACATTGGACTAACCCAGGGGTCGGCAACCAACGGCTCCAGAGCTGCATGCGGCTCATTGACGCCTCCTTTGCGGTTCCCTGGAGCTTTTTCAATAATTTATGAACATTTCTTTTTTTTTTTTGGTGTATTTATTTGAATATGGTGTGCAGGAGATCAAACAGACATTCATTATGTTTTCCAATGCTGTAAATATTTGTATAATAAATTAATTTAAGAAATAAATGCAAACATTTATTTCAACGAAAAAGTGCGTCATGGCCATAGAGATCAGTGGTCAAAGCCTGCAACACATGTCTCAGTGCAGCGCGGTGACGGGCAAAGAAAGTGGTGGGTGTGTCTGGGGCCATGGATCCCAAAGGGAAAAAAGGAAGATACCTGATGAGAACAGATGATTCAAAGAAGAATGGACCAAAGCATTTGCTTTCATTATCAATGCGGATGGATTGCCTAGATTTTTGCTTTGGCACGATAATTTGTCAAATAATAAAAATAGTAATTTGGAAAGGCATTTCCAGGGAAGGCTAAATATGCAGCCGATCACAAAGTTGTAAGAGAAAACGTGCGATTGCAGAACTTCTGGAAACATTAAAGGAGCACAAAGATAGATTTAAGAAAATGGATTGCCTCTATGAACTCCACTACTGCTGCTAGTTTTGTTTCAAGCATGAAAAAAAACAGATTAAACAAGTAGCGCTCTGATGCAGGTATGTGAATTTTTTTTCCATTTTTCTCCTGCAAATCCTTAAAATAAAAATAACACGCAGGGAACAGTGGTTACGGAGGATGAGGGATTTCGTGGTTAGAGAGCACTGCTATGATGGATGTCAGTTCCTGCTTGGTTCCTCATGACTCAATTAACTCCCAACAGAAACACGTCCACCATAGACAGATTCCTTTATTGTGTTTTTATAATTTCATCAGTGCAACAAAACTTAAACTGCCCGCTGAAGGGCGGTGAAGCGGCACGCGGTGAATTCCACGTTGTGAGAGCGTCCACTGCTCCTCGCTTACCTCATGCTGCTATGTGACATTTGCTCCAGTATTAACATTTAATCATGAATGCTTATTATATATTTAAGCCCACATTTTTTATAGTGGTCTAATACACTTTGAGCCCATGTTGCCATACAAGGCTTATGTAAGACTTTTAAATTTTTTTTGGCTCCAGACAAATTTTGTTTTTTTTGGTCCAATATGGCTCTTTGAGCTGTTTGGGTTGCCGACCCCTGGGCTAACCGAAGGGAAGTTAGTTCTCACTTGTGCATATATTGGTGAGTTGACTGTCCCTCCACATGAATACGGAGATCTGTTTGGTTTTTGGGTGTGTCCTGGAGCGCTTTAACTTTAGACGCCAGGCATTAGACTACAGTAAAGACTGATAGTCATATTTAAGCATCTCTTAAACTACTTTAACAATTAAAAGGTATGGATTAAACTTTAAAAATACTGATTAGACAAAAAATGTAAATCTTCAACTTTTAAAGAAATTAAGCACAAAATGTGTTTTTAACTCTTACTTTTTGTCTTGCAGGTGTATCTTAATATCAAATTTGCTGCAGACCCAGTGGTTAAACTCCCCATTGTTATTTTACCTGAAGATAACAGCAGAGTGTCGGATGAAGAACAACCATTTCCTCCTGTTGGGTTTGGATTTGAAGCATTTGGAAACCAAAACCCACAAAGCTGGGATGCCACATCACAAGCAATGAGTCTTCCCCCTCCCTATGAAGCATCTGCCATGTACCCCCCGTTCCCCACAATTTCTTAGACTAAACCATGACTGCAATATAATTTTGGCATAATGTCATATTTTTAGCTTGACATGAGAACAATATGGTTGTACCTGCCTTATTTACTTTGCACTTTGTCAAGACACTGTCATGCTTATCAGCATCTACCTTTATGAGAGATGCTGATAAGCATGACAGTATCCTGACATGCTTATCAGCATCTACCTTTATGGAGGAGACTAACCTTACAACTGCTTTAAGCCATAAGGGATTTTGCTGTTTGGGTGTTTAACATGTTAAGCAAAAAAAAAAGAAAACGTTCTTAGTGTTTTACATTGTTCTTCGGTGTCTCTTTTTTTGAGGGTTTTCAAAGCAAATATTGAAGTCTCCCACAATAATAATCCAACACCATGAAAATCTTTTTGATTTTTTTTTTTTTTGATTTTTTTTTTTTGGCATAGAACAGGGGTGTCAAAGTAGTTCCTGAAAGGGCCGTGTGGCTGCTGGTTTTCTTTCCACCCAGGCAGTAGCACACCAGACTCCATTCATCTCATCAAGGTGAGTCTAATCTTAACCTGATGACTTGATGGGATGAATGGAGTCTGGTGTGCTATTGCTTGGGTGGAAAGAAAACCAGCAGCCACATGGCCCTTTCTGGAACTACTTTGACACCTGTGGCATAGAAGAACCATAAAGTTTTAGAACATTCAAGGTGAGCTCTTTACTTGGAGAGAGAAGATGAAACAGGGACATTTCTGCAACTGGTAAATATAAACAAATACACAGCCAACAACTCTCAGTGGGTTTCGGAGAAGAAAGATAAATCGGTTAAAATGATCCAGTTTATCAATTTTAAAGATTTGAACATTTCTTCAAAACATATCCATCAGTTTGTGCAGAAGCAAGGCTCTGAATTAAAATTAATCTATTCTGAAGTAGATTAAAATCGAGTATCAAACGATTTCAGTAAAATCATGTATGAACACTTCAAACCCCTCACCTAATCAGGGAAAAGTCTCACTATGTTAGCCAGACGAGGGCTAAGCTAACAGAGCAATGGCTCTGTGTGAGTTTTAGGATTATTCTTCTTCCCCTCTGTTAGTGAATAGAAATTTGCATTTTAAAGCAGTAGAGAGTTTCCAGAATAATTAGGATTTCTGTAGACCTGTAGAGGACCATTTTCTCTCCAGTTTCCTAGCATTACCTCCCAGAATATACTGCCTTAAATTAAACCAGGGAGCCAGCTTTCTATAAATGAAATCCTTCAATTTTAATGGTGCTAAATTGCCTAAAACAATGTGCAGAAAGGAAGTAACCCCATCATCAAAATGATCAATTTATGAAGGGGAATAAAATAGATATGATACAGAGGAGTTAAAAAAGTGAACATATTTTTTTTCATTTAATGCTGCATTATCTGATAACAATCAACTAAATTTAAACCTTAGTTTGAGGGAGGACACCTCTGTTAAACTGAGAAAACTAAGCTAAGGACTTAGTTAAATTAAGGTTACTGAAACATGCTTGGACAGCTGACAAGACTAATTATAACTTTGAATGAAGAATAAGCAACAAACCAGGCCAAGCTAATAAAACTTGATTATTTGCAAATACTTGCTTAGATGAAGTAAAATCGAAGGCAATAAGGCTTGACACAAAAGCTGTGCGGTAGCTGCCTGAGACAGATTCCCTCTTGTTCACTAGTGCTTTTGAGCAGTACATCTAATTGTGTACTTAAGTGCATCATGTAAACATGTTAATATGCAATATACACCTTGAACACAGTGCCTCCACTCAAATAGAGCAGATCAATTTGAACACTAATAATCATATCACCAGTAATTTTGAATGTTTAACTGGTTTGGACAAATAGCAATTATTTGAAATAAGTCAATGCTATGTCCAGACTATTTATTTACACAAAAAAGATAAACATTATTCTTAATTTTTTTAAATAACTTATTTTTTCTATCCCCTCCCAGGTCTAGTTTAACATAAGTATGCTTCACCTGCATAGCTGTGGAAATAACTGCTTTTGCATTTCCCTGTGCAGACATAGAATTGCTTTTTAATCACAATACCAGTCAGAAAACTTCAACTGATACAGTTTAATACAAAGATGCATAAAGATAAAATGACAATTTGACATACATTCAGCATAGGTGTATATTTTCAGCTAAAATTAGTCAAACAGTTGAGAAATCTGGGACATGTTTGGATAGGTTTTTATACTCCTACTGTATTTAGAAGGTTTAAAGCTTAACTAAACACAAAATAAAAATGCTACTGTAGACACTCAGTGAACCTTAGTCTTTATAACATCTATACACTCCTACTTTGGACAGAGCTGTGGAACAACTTGGTAATTCAGGGTGTGCCTTCCTTAATTTCTGTGGTTTGAAACATTTTCTATTGAAATCGTTATGTGTAATGTGTATGTTTTTCCACTAACACTAAAGGTACTTGAAATTAACAGTTTAATTAGTTTGTTTTAATTAAAATGAGCAGAAATTGTTCTGTGATATTCAAATTTATCATACGTGGTAAGATATCATCACACAAAACGTCTCTAAACACTATAAGAGAGAGGCCATTAACCTTGAAATTTAAAGAACCATCACTAATGTAATTCTATTTTTTTAGATAGTTTTTATTTTGGGGCTATTACTAATTATTATGTCCTAAAACTCTTCACAGCCTCTTCAGTTGTTAAAAGTGCTTGAGTTGAGATTCACAAAGTGATCATTTTTAGATCGGAAAAATTATGTTTTTCTCTCTCCACATTGGAAATCATCACAGGACACGTCCCACTGAAGTAGGTGTGTCATGTGACACCAACAGAGATCGGAATTTAAAGAAGAAATGTGTCATGTGACAGCATGTCTATGACGAAAGGTGTTCCTTAACCCTCAATGGAAACATGGTGTTGTTTCTCTCCATTCAGGTGCTGATTATGAAAGATCTTCTGTTTGCCAAAGCAGTCAAGCCTGTGTTATTTAAAATAAATTTTCCACTCATGCTTTTGTTCTCAAGCATTACGTGGTGTGGATTTCTTCATCGAATGCGAGGCTTTAAAAACCTGTCTCTCAGGTTCTGCAAGTTTGAAAACCAGTATAAATGTGACAGAACAGCCCTACTAGGTTAACACGAGCTGACTTGTTCTTCCTACTCTGCTGGAAATGACCATTAAAAATCTTCAGATTGAATATGATGCCATCAACAACAGGAACACTTTTTCAAATGGAGATGCCATAAATGGACGGATCATCCTTGAAGTCTCCAAAGAAACAAAAGTTCAGTCTCTGCTTTTTATTGGGAAAGGAAATGCAAGGGTGCGTTGGTCTGAGCATTACGGACAGCATACCCATGTTTACTGGTCTGATGAGAAGTACTACAGTGTTAAGCAACATTTGATAAGAGAATCAAGACAAGATGGTAATGTATAAATTTAGATTTAAAAGGACATAATGTGCTAAATCCCTAGAATGCTGATGTGCTAGTTTAAAATGTCTCTTTTTTTAGGCACTGAAGTCATTGGGAAAGGAAGACATGTTTTTCCTTTCAGCTTTAAGATACCTGACAGGTATTTTATTTCTGTAAGGTTTATATTCTAATCTCTTGTCTTCTTTAGATTCTAATCCTTGTTTGTTACTGTACTTACCAGGAAAATGCCATCATCTTTTCACTCATCTGTGGGTAGAATTGTTCATAAATTAAAGGCGGAGCTACATCAGTCCATGAAGGTGACAAAAAAAGCTAAAACACACTTCACATTTATTTCCAAAGCCGACATGGATACACCAGGGCTTATGGTGAGAAACTGAGAAAAAAAAGAAGAAAAACAAAATCTTTCCCAGTGCTACTCAAAACCAATTACTTGTTTACAATGCTATTATTGTTATTCAAATGAAATCTGCTTTCAGGTTTCCCAACATGAGAGCAAGGAAAAAAGCCTTGCTTTTGGTTCTGGAAATGTTTCGATGGATATCTTTGCACAAAAGATGGGATACAAACTTGGTAAATATCTGGTTTTAAAGGAGGAAAACTCAAACACTATTCATACTTTAATGTAAAAACTTATTCTGCAGCTAAAATAGACAAAGTCTGCTTTAGGAAAAATAATTAGTTTCACATTCCCTCATCACGTGTCCACAAAGAAATGCTTTAAACCACGTATTTTAATTTTAAAAACTAACTGAAAGCTGAATCATGGCCGATCTCCTCTAAAGTCTATGTTGGTCTAAAATACTGTGGACAAACTTTCTGCTGTTTCCAAAGCTAAATACTTGTGGGGGTGTAAGTGTATATCTAAACTTCTATGTGTTTATTGAACATTGTGTGGGTTACATAAAATCAGTTAAAAATGTAAACAAATTCTTGACTTTAAGGGGAATTGCATGGTCTATTTAAACTGGTTTTAGCGCAGCATTAGAGGAAAACAATTAATACAGACAATAAAAAAGCAGTGAAGCACAGAATACAAACAAAAGGTTTTCCAAAGGAATGAAATATTGTATATAATACCTAAGTGGTAGATATTTCCCAGCATCTTAACCAATAAGTGTCCTTCGATTAGATCTTGCCCTAGTATTTCATTTAAAATTCCATTGCCTGTTTTATGATTCAGTCTGAACATTTGTTTCTATTTTATAGGTGAGACTCTGTCGGTCTCCATCAAAATCAATAATGCCTCAAGTCGCTCAGTCAAACCCAAACTCGAACTGTATGAGAAGAAGAGCTTCTTCGCTATGGGCAGAAGAAAAGTTCAAACAAACACTATACTAAGGCAGAAAGCTGAAGTTGTTGAAGCACAATCCGGAAAGAAGGCTATAACTATGATGATCACCATCCCAACAGAGCTTCCTCCATCCATTCTGAACTGTTCCATCCTTAAACTGGAGTACAGACTGAAAGTAAGTTTCTCCAGTGGAGCCATTCTTTCCTATGAATGTCTGTTTTGGTTTTATCAAAATTATTTAAATTAAAATCACAATCAACATTCCTTGCATTAACCTTAAATAACATTAAGGCCTTTGCTTTATATTTATAACATGAATGTTTACAGCAAGTTCTGTAGTTTAAGCAGATAATAGCATTTCAGTTTAACTGCAGATGTTTTGATATAGACCTACATGAAAAGGACAAATGTGTGTGTATATATATATATATATATATATATATATATGTCTTGATTGCTTGTGAATTTGGTTCATCTACATGATTTAATTGTTCGGAGGCACAAAAATCATGTGTAGTGTGTCATAAATAAGACGTTTTGCTATTACTACCAGGACCTGTATGGTGCTTTTTTGGTCAGGAGACTTCAAAGCGTTTTACACTGCATATTATTACATATAATAACTATAATTATTAGTGTTATTGTTTTTCTTATCCTACCCTATACAGAAAAATACAAAGAGCTGCTTCGTGTTAGTAAAAATTACGTTTTTGCTTCAGCAATATTTCAAGGTTTTAAATATATTTTAAAAATATATCAATAAAATAACATTTTAATAAAAAAATGCAACTCCAAGTGTAAACATTTAAAGTAAGCATCCAGGCTGTCTGGTGGAAGTGGAAAAATTAGCATGCACAACCCTGTAACCGATCCAAGAGGGAACACCTATTAAATGCGTGCGAGAGCGTGCATGAGCCAATTTCTCAACGTGCACAGTCTGTTTAAAAGTTGCTGTTCTCATAGCTCATACAAGCTTACTGTATCCGAAAGTCTGCCCTAACCCCTAAATCCCTCAATCACTATACAGAGCGGGGAATATATAGTTGACTTTATAACAAACTCAGCTAACTGACTGTTCAGACAGATGATCATTGCTTTTTTCTCCCCTCCGGTCATGTAACTCCTCCTTTACTGCGTGGTGCCTGCGCCATCTTAATTATTACTCACCGTTGTTGGGTAGTGACAGCCTATTGCAACAGTTGGCTGCTGTGACAGGAAATCCCATAATGCTTTGCGAGGAGAGCTCTCTGCACAAATCATTCTTTCTTTTCTTCTGATACACTTCATAGACACTTTTTCTCTTATGACCCCCGTCCATTTTAGAAGAAGCGCTGTAAGACAGGTGAGCTTCAATGACAGTCTGAAACTGTTGCTCACCACACATATATGCCTAAAAGTCTGCATGCGCAGAAAAAGATAGCTAATGGGATAAGCACGTAGGACGGCCTTACCTAAACATACTGTATCACCACAGTGATTGACAATTAGTAGGACCACTTACTTAGATGATCCACCTGGAAATAAAAGATTGTCTTCTATACCTTTAAGATGTGACTCCTGTGAGCTGCTGCTTTTTTCTTTTCAGAGTTAAACACTTTTTAGCCTTAAATGTAGGGCACAAACATAGCTTATGATTTGGAAAGGTCAGCATGTTGGATCAATATTTTCCAAACTGTACATACTTGGTACAGGAACCTGACGCAATACTGGATCGTGTTGGCTATAACCCTTGCTACACCCACAGCAGTCAAATTCTCATGCGCAAAACAAAAAGAGCTCTACGGATGTTTTTCTCCTAAAAAGGGTTAAAAATTAATTCAAAGACAATATCTGACAAGACAAGTACCGCATATGTCAAATACAAGATTATGACCCTATAGAAAAAATAACCACAAATTGTCTGTATTTAAAACTTTTTTGTCTTTCAGGTGTACCTCAATATCAAATGTGCTTCAGACCCAACGGTTAAACTCCCCATTGTCATTTTACCTGAAGATAACAGCAGGGAGTTGAATGAAAAACAGCCACTTCCTCCTGTTGGGTTTGGATTTGAAGCATTTGGAAACCCAAACCCACAAAGCAGGGGTGCCACATCACAAGCGATGAGTCTTCCGCCTCCCTATGAAGCATCTGCCATGTACCCCCCCGTTCCCCACAAATTCTAAAACTAAACCATGACTACAATATAATATCGTCATATTTTTAGCTTGACATGATCACAATATGGTTGTATCTGCCTTATTTACTTTACAATTTTTCTGGATATTTTCATCTTTATTAGCAGTTACCTTAAAGCAATTGCTTCAAGCCACCAGGCTCCTTGCGTTTTGGGTGTTTAACATTTTGAGCCAAACCAAAATGGCCAAGTGTATCACATAGATCTTAAGGGTTTTGAATGCAAATGGTGAAGTCTCCAAAAATTATTAAACAGTAAGATTATTGAAAAAGTTTGATTGGGATCTAGGAGGCCTGTAAAAATGTAAGAACATTTGAGCTGAGCTCCTTACCTTGACAGAAAACACTGAAAAGGGAAATTTGTTAATAGCCAATAAAACTCTTAAAATGGTTTCAAAGAAGTGAAATAAATTAATTAGAATGGTCCAGTTTTCCCATTGAATAGATTTCAAAATTTATTGAAAACATACGCATAGAAAATGCCCCCAAACTGTTCCATATCTAAAGAATCACAAAAAATAGATGCATATATCGGATTTAAAATCCAGCAGATGTTCTGAAGTTGATTTATATCTTTTACTGATTATTAAATGATGCCAGTAAATGGTTGAATGATGATTTCTATTTTCATGTAACCTTATTACACATCATCTCTGTTGATTTCTTTTAACATGTTGTTTAGTGTTTTTTTTTTTTTTTACCAAACGTTAATGTGAACTTGTCCATGTCCATAGCCCAAAGAAAAGCACTTACTGCATATGTTCTATACTTAATTGGGTGGGAAAGCATAGATGTCAGGTATGAATATATTTACATAGTTACAGACACATTTTCTCTAATTATTTTTCCCAGACCGATGCTAAACCAGAAGATGAAGCGTCTAGTTTTTATTCTTCTCTCATCTGAAACAAACTGAAATATTCAGAAACATTTCCCATCATTAAATTGAGAAGAGAAAAAAAAGGAAATATCATTCTCCAAGTTTTTATTTGTAAAAATTTTATACTTTTTTTTTTTTTTTTTTAAAAAATTTTATACTTTTTTTTTTTTTTAATCTGATTATCTTGTTTGTTGTACTTTTATGGTATACTCCTTTATTTTATTCTTTTTATTTTTCATGTGTTTTTTTTTTAATCTCTTGTCCTGTTTCTACCATTTGAAGCACTTTAGATTAATATTTGTATGGATGGATAGTATTTTACCAATAAAACCTTTATCTAATCATATAATTGATGTATATCCTTGAACATAGTGTCTTGTGAATCTTGATATTACAATATTGATGCAACAGATGAAATAATAAGTAATAAGGTGCACCACCAGACATAATAGTACAAAAGCATTAAATCCACAGGAAGAGATCATTGGGCTGCACAATGTTGCAGTGGCAAGCACTGCTGCCCTGCAGCAATAGGGTTCCAGGTTCGATTCCCTGTCTTAGGTCTTTCTGCATGTTCTCCCTTTGCATGCATGGGTTTTCTCGAAGTACTTCGGCTTCCTTACATAGTCCAAAAACATGACTTTTAGCTTAATAGGTTTCTCTAAATTCTCCTTAGGTGTGAGTGTGTGCATGAATGGTTGTTTGTCCTGTTGGTTTGTCTCTGTGTTGCCCTGCAATAGACTGGCGACCTGCCCAGGGTGTAGACAGCTGGAGATAGGCACCAGTACCCCTTGCAACCCCAGCAGGGATAAGCATTACGGAAAATGAATGGATGGATGGAAGAGATCATAAATATTAGAACATAACTGAACAATATGTGCTTTGTTACTATTTGAGTAATTATTCATTATAGAATTCCTTCAATAGTTTCCTTAAACGAAAATTATTTTAGTATCGAATAGTCAGGGATATGCTATAGCAGGAAGCTCCCAAGGGTTAAAAAACATCTTGCCTATAGATTTATGTTACTTCTCTAATATTTGTCAAAAAAAAAAATGAAAATCAGTTGCTACTTATTTTGTTCATACAAATGATCCACCAGTTTGCACATGTAAGCATTACTATCTAAAAGGGCTGACATGCATTTGTTTTTAAATCCCTGAGAAATTACTTTGCATAACCACAACTGTGGGCTGCATCTCTATGGATGTATGAATTTGACTCAAAATAATTGTGTCTGTAATGCTACATTTGATAAGCAAATTTGTCCAGAAAACCTTTGCAAAACTCATCCTGGTTGTAATACTTAATTTAACACTAACCCAAACAGAAAAAAGATTCAGGTTTTTTGAGCAACAAAAACATCCACCTTTCAGGTCACATGTCCTGAAAGACATATAGGAAAAATCTTCATTTTTAACAAAGAAAATTTCTGAAAAGATAAAAAGGCTTGGAGTAACGGGTGGATAACACTAGAGAAGCTGCAGAGAGGTGTGTTACTCTATGAATACTGATCTCCGCCCCATGCTGTCTGGGTTTTGGAGGACTGATCAATTTGCCGAGATTCCTAGGAAGAAGAGTTACTCCATCCAAAGTGGGATGGATGCTGCCCATCAAGATAAACATAATGTATAAAGGTGGAACTAATATTGTATAAACATGATAGTTATATTGTATAAGCATAACTATATTGTATAAAAGTGTTATTTAAATTATTCAATATTCTAAAATATTTTGGACAAACATGACAATTTTATCCAGCTCTTTGTGGACAGGTGGTGGTTGTATTTTAGTCTGTTTAGACCCTGAGACTCTTTTAATTAGATAAATAAGAAGTTGGAGATCCAAAAAAATGTTTGATGCTGCGATTGCTATAAAACCGCAGCATACCAGAGAAGTGCCTCTGAAGCATGGAAGAGGAACACATAAGTGTATTTTTCACTCACTCATATTTCATTATTAGTCTAATGACAATAAACTAGTACAATGCACTTTTCATTTCTCTTAATAGCTAGTATGAAATATGGATAATTTTTTTTATCACATTTGAACTATATAATTATTAAATTTGTATAATATACTATCCAGTTTGTACAACATAATCATCATATTATAACATGATAGTTTTTAAAATGTATTTTCTCTCGTGACAGCAATATGCTTCCATAGAATAACTCTGTCTGTAGCACATGCTTTTATTTTGAAAGAACCCCCAAAACCAGTGAATAATTGCTGCTTTTAATATTCAAAACCAAAAAACAATCAAAAAGGCTCATATGATTTCACTTAAACATCTTAAATAATTTTAGTTTTACTTTGTTGGAAATGTTAAAAAAAATACAGCTGTGCAAAACCACAAATTTGAACAATAAATATAATACAATGTAATATGCAAGACTTTTATTTTTTTGTATGGATCTTGTAAAATATTAACCCACTGGGTGACTCAATTTTAAGTGTCAGGATGTGGAAGACTGTCTTCCCTCTTTTCTCTTTTTTGTCCTTTTTCATTTCTTTTGCTTTACCATATTTATGTGTTACCTCCAAGCATCCAGTATGATGACTGTTTCTATTTTTTCTTAGCTTGATTTAGTCTTATTCTCAGGTTTGGTCTCTCAAAGCTCTTGATCCTGTTCTAGCTCTCTGTCCTGGTTTAAGTCTCACCCAGAACTTTTTAGAAGCAGCTTGGATTACACTTTTTCCACTCTTCATGCCACTCAAAGATTGCTTCCTGCCCTTCCTCCACCATGCCTCCTCTGTATCTATCCATTTTCTTCAGCTTTATCTCTGAGCTGGCCTGGTGTCACCTCGGGGTCCCCCATAGAAAAGCCAATCCAGCCTGTGAAAACCTGTATAACTCATATAAGTAATTGTCATCATGGGCTAAAGGATCTTCCCACAATTCGTGCTCTGATTTTGATTTAGTTTTTATTTTATAAGCAAATTATATAGGAGAAAACAAATACAGGATAGTAAATGGTAGGTTATATAGAAAGGAGAGAAAAAATAAATTCATAAAAAGCTATTACAAATCAAATAAAGCAGTGGTGTTGCAAGTGCACACATTTTTACTTAAGTAGAAGTATAGATCCTGCAGTTTAAAAACATTCTGGTAAAAGTTGAAGTATCAACTTGACCTCTTTACTCAAGTAAAAGTGAAAAAGTATGTGCTCCAAAAACTACTTAAAGTATAACAGTATAAAGTTACCTTAAAAAAAAAAGAAAAAAAGAAAAACAGCCAGATTCCACTATATGAATTGAAAGCTCGATTTCTTGACTATTTCGAAAAAAATATCTTAGAGATAGGGCCAAGGATGAGGGAGGTCTTGTCTGTCTTCGTCTCCATATGCTCTCACCTTTCAGACATTTCGACATCGTTTTCTGAATCTGACGTTGTAGCATAGCATAGACAATTCACGTTTGCAGTTTGAAGAACACCTGCTTGCTTCTGATGATTTCCTTTAGCTAACTAATGAGTGTTTGCATTATATGACTCATCCAATTACACTAGTTTTCACTAGATGTGGATGGAGCCAATGATCTGCATTGGATGGAGCACATGACGTGAAATAAATATTCATAAACATAAAACTGTAGCTAAGAGTAACGAGTTTATAGATAGAAAATCTGGTATGGACTTCATTATTATCAGAGTACTATGGAATGGAAATCATTTAAGGGGAGAGATTATATTTTTTTTGTTTGTTTCTTTTAGGTAGATTGATCATTGTGTCAGTTTTAAGTCCAAGATTACCTGAAATAGTGAGATGTTAAGTTTATCTGTGGGAACACCAACCGGTCAGCCCATGCCTTGGGCACCCTTGTTGAAATGCTGTTGGGCCGGTTTCTTTCCTTGTGTGTTTGCTCTCTTTAGGGCTCCACAAACATCTGCCGTGTCCTATCTGAGCAGTTGCTCATCAGAAAAAGTACCAGATTTTATTGCTGGAATGGTCAGGACTGCATAAATACTGGTAATGCTGGTCTTAGCAACTCTAGGGACACCGTTGAATTAGCTTTGGGTCTTTTAGATACAGCATACTCTTGCACTTGTGTATGATAATACATCCCCAAAATGTCTAAAAATCCACAAACTGGAAAAATGATTTAAGTACAATTGTATGTAAAAAAAGAAAAAGAAATAAATAAAAGTACAATTGCATGTAGTAGTTTTTTTTTACCTGTACATAATGGAAGTAGTAAGGGATGAAATACCAATGCAAAGGAACAAAATGTAGGTCCAATTTGTAGTAAGGGTAAATTTAGAATTACAATTTATTTTCATATTGTTATTTGTAGATTTAGTGCTTATTTGGTAAATTTCGACCCACCTGAGCTTTGAAAATTCAGGTGAGTGAGCTGGGATCTTAACCCTCTGCAACTGCACTTTGTTAAATACCAAGCAGAAACCTCTGCAAGTTTCTGCAGTACTTTGTGTTTCTTTACACTTTTATAGATACATGTTTAAATATTTGAAAAAAAGTAGAGGAGCAAAGACACAGTGTAGAAGAAAACATATATAATGCAAAGCAAAATTTTCCATTTAACTGGACATACGTGCTAAAGAGAAGATGAGGAACAGATAACTGTTACAGGAATCTGTCATGTCACATTCAGAGTGCCCGTCACACTCAAAAACCAAAATAAAAACAGTCAGATGTTACAGTTTGTTCACTCAGCTGTTTGGCATGATAATTGTAGTTTGAATGTCCCCCCCCCCCCCCCCAAACTCACCACTGGTATGCCAACAATGCACACTGCAGCCATCAGCAAGAATGATGCAATAAAAACAGGTTTCTCAAGATGTCCGAGTCTCTATAAAAGCTGTGGAGCCAACGTGGTGGGTGCACACTCACAGTGAGTTTCACCATGATTCTTGCTCCCCGCTCTGCTGAAAATGACCATCAAAAATTTTCAAATTGAATATGATGCAATTAACAGCAGGAACATTTTCACCAATGGAGACACTATTAATGGACGGATCATTCTGGAAATCTCCAAAGAAATAAGAATTCAATCCCTTGTTTTTATAGCCAAAGGAAAAGCTCGAGTTCACTTTAGTGAACATTACGGACTATTGGGAAAACTCAACCCAGAAGTAGAGGAGAATTACCGCTATAAACAGAAA